CATCTAGATACAGATAGGTCTTGGGTTGTTGCTTTGGGGAGGCCGTCGTAGGTCTAGGCGGAGGGTAGAAGTAGCGGGCAGGAAATTTAGTTCAGGTCTTTTTTCCGTTGTTTCTGCTGGGGAAACTCTGCCCGTTCGTTGACGCAGCGTTGCTGCGTTATTTCTGGGCGAGGGCATCTTCTTCCTTGAAGCCCAGCCATAGCTGGGGCTGGGACACGAAGTTGGAGATCGCACTGCTGCTATTCAGCAGCTCTGCACGAGAGCTTCACCAGGACTGTGTTGTTGGGTTTGGGCGCTGCCTTCCTACACTTGGCAGCCATATCTGCTGTTCCTCCTCATGAGGAACTTCGTTTTTCTCTTCTTCGAAGTGCTGGATCGGTTGTCTCCTTCATCAGGACTTCCAGCACTGCACTTCTATGCAGGCGCTGAGCTGGTGCTGCTATCACTGGGGTTGCTTGTTCAGATTGGCACATTGTGACAGCTGTGAGGTTACTGCTGCTACGGCAGCCATAGCCAGAGGTATGAGGGAGCGAGGAGGAAGAAGAAGACTCCTGTAGACTTCGTTGTAAACACGGTTGTGATTCTTGGAACAAGTACTTTGGATTGATTGGAGGAGGATGGGGGATTACAGACTTGAAATTCGTTTTTCAAGTCTGTGTGTGTTTTCGAGCTTCCGCTGTGCATATCCCCTCTCCGGTTTTGTGTGGATTTGCCTCCTCCGGGTCTACTCTGCAATTGCATGCGTGTATGGGAACGTGTGAATTTGTTGTGGAGGTAAGTTCAATCGGGTACATAACATACAAATAGGACATGCGATGTCAGGGTGCCGTACATGAGTACAATGTTGCCAATCATCATACATATGAAAACAAAGACTTGGATGGGCTATACCCCCACAATAATCCTCACAACACAAAGCATGCCAATCATATGCTAGCCGAATATCAGGCGGACCATCATGGTATTGAGCGAGTTTGTTGGGTTTCCACAGCCGATACTCCCCCTCTATGGGCAGGCCATGACAGGGCCTGGTCGAAATTAAGGGTGTTTAGCTGTTGCAAAATCTGGTCTGCAGCTGCTCGCCGTGGCAGCGATAACCTTTCAGTACACTGCGCCACACATGGTTCATGTGAGAGTCTGTTCTCCGCCTCAAGCTGCTGCATGTGGTCCTCATCTGCCAAGGATGGAGAGGGTCCAATTACGGATGCAGCCGGGGGATGCCCAATGTTGCATGCGGGACATGAACACAGAGGATGTGGTGGGTGATGGTATCCAGGATAGTCCACGCACAAGAGACACGTGGGCGTGTGGAAAATCAACACCAAATACCCTGGAAGCCAGGGTTGCATAGCTGCTGACCGCCGACCCCTACCGCCGACCGTATTGCAGCCAACCAGTAGAGTTGACCAGTCAGCGGTCTGCCCACCAAACAAAAAACAGCCATCCACTATTTTTTTTTTAAATCTGAGTTGGGGCCTGTTCTGCGTTTGCTGAGTACAGCCCAAATCCGCGGAGAAACTTTTGGGGATGGGGGATAGCGGGGGGACAGGGGGGGGATAGCGGGGGATAGGGGTGGTCTAGGGGGTATGGGGGAGTGTACGAGGGTGTTGGAGGGCGGTTTGGCGGTTTGAGGGGGTGTGGGGGGGTATTGGGGTTGGGTATGGGGGTGTTGGTGATGTCATTGGGGGTTCTGGACCCCAGAAGAAAAAAAAAAGAAAAAAAAAAAATTTGCGGGATGAATACGACCCCCGACCGGTAGGCGCCGACCAGTCAAGGGGCGCCGACCGTCGGGGTGTGCAACACCACTGGAAGCCACAAATGACAAAAAAATGAAGAGTGCAAGGCTGGCCACAGGAGTGTGTTTGACCAGATCCCCCAAGAAGTCACAAGCGGACATGGTGGTGCGGTTGAGCTCCAGGTGCCCACACACCCATCTGCCTGAGAGGCGTGCGGAAACAAAGGCCTGACTGCCCAACCCTGCTAGCATGTATGTTCTGCTATAAAAGAAAACAGCATGCATGAATGGAAGGTTCATGCGGCACCAAGGGCTCCACCAACTAACACTGATCCCCCCTCAAGTGCCCAGAAATCTCAGCCACAGGAGTCTCACCTGCAATAGAAGCCCTCTGAGCCTGTCCACGAACACTCCACAAATCAGGCCTGACACTGAAGACCCTCCCATAACACAGAGCGCAACCGCTTACAACACACCGAAGACAGCCTTTATCCGTGTGCACTAAAAGAACAGCCCGTGGAAGCACACCCGCAACACACACTGCCTGAGCAGCTAAATGAGGATTCCAGGCCACAACACAAACGGAAAGCCATAAGAGTGTATACCTTGCACGTCGGTTTACAACACCCCTATCAAATCCATACAAACTGAAAAAAGCACCCATGCAATTGATCAAGGCAACGCAAGACAGTAAGGATACTAAGACCCAAATGCAAAGGGAAAACCCAGAGTGATAACACAAACTCTGCACAGACCAGAAAAAACAAGAAAGAAAAGATCCCCCTGCTCATGTATATGCATGGACCATGATGGGACTTACAGGAATGGCATTCACACACTGAGGCAGTGCGTTCTGTGCACTACCCAGCGCAGCCAGCACACGCCACGACAATCAGTAGCCGCATCCACTGCCTTCCGTTGATGCTTCCACGAAAACTACCAGCCCAGAAAGGTCCGTTCTGCGATTGCTGAGCTGGCAGGAGCAGAGGCCCTCTCTGAAAGAGTGTGCACGTGCTCTTCATTTTTCACACCTTACCGGCTTTGAAAGGCATGCACGTGCTCTGAACAAACAGCCTTTGCTACAGGTCAACAACCCATGATCCACATGGTCACTCTGACAACACAAATCAACTATGTCAAGGTCTCCCAATCTTTCCACAAAATGAACAACAGGCCATCCGCGTGACCGCCTGGCATGACCACGGATGGAGGATAACACCATACAAAAGAAACTTTGTGATAGTAGTAATGTCAGGAGGTCACTGCAGGATCAGGGTAATTCCCAGGGTGTTATGCCATCTCATCTTTCTACTCCTTACCCACCCACTTGCTCCTTGCATGTTGGGGGGAAAAAATCCCAAAACATCAGGGGTGTAGGGTGGGTTCCACAGCATCAGGGAGGGGGAAAAAAAAAAAAATACAACAAAAATGTTTTTGCACACCTACACCAAATGCAGATGTCGACCAAAGCCGCTGCGACCCCGTAGGTATGATATTTCCGGGTCGCAGACCACGGTTGGTAGTTTCTTTCGGTTCTGCAGTCCTGATGGTTTAAACTCTTTCCAGTCAGCACAAGTTCCCTAACGGTGAAACTGTGCAGAATGGAGAGGGGGCAAGGTCATGAGGTCATGCTTTGATTTTATTTTCATTTTTTTGCAAAAGGAAGGAAAAAAAAAGGAGCTTGTCAGCTGTTATCTTGATCACAAGCCAATTGTTGGTATCATCAGCAAACCATTGTGTGGTCACTTAGCATCATAATCATCTTTCCTCAACACTGTCATCTTGCTTCTGAGTGACTTTCTCTGATACTTCCATATGAATATAGTGAAACGGTTTTCACCTTTTGCAGACACAGATGCGGATCCCAGGGCTCGATCCCCAGACCTCACCTTACCTTACCTTGCCTGTGTACAGTATCAAGTGGACCCTGTAAGTCTTGAACCCGTGACCTGTGTGTTAGTAGTTGAAAGTTGTCTGTCGTAGGTCTGAGTAGTTGTTGGGTTTTGAACCTAGACCTGTCGAAGTAGGGGTCACACCTGCATAGGGGTCATAGTTGTTGTAGTTCTGAAAGGTCAAGGTCGTAGCTGCTACAGTCCTGAAAGGTCAAGGTCGTAGCTGCTACAGTCCTGAAAGGCCAAGTCTGCAAACTTCCGGAAGGTCCGGAAGTGGCCTTTCAAGTTTCTTCTCACGTTATACGCAGCAGGCCAGAGGCAAGTGGGCAAATGGTCAGTCCAACTTCGCTTGGTCAGCGGTACCCAGTCCCAGTCTCACTTTGTACAGTCAGCAAGTACCATGAGGGACTGTGTGCACCATGGGCCCGGTGGAAAAGGGCAGACCAGCGACTTACAGAAGTATAAATCAAGTGGCAGCGTCCAGCCATTCATTCATTCCTGCGTAAGCCATGCGAAAGCGTCTTCTGCGAGGTGGTCTGCAGATGCCCGAGGTCGAAGTGGGCTTGAAGAAGTTAGTGCCCCATAGTTAGTAGTAGCTGGCGGCCATAGCCGCCATAGCTAGCTTTAAGTGTTAGTGTGTGTCTACGTGTGTGTGATACAGTGAGCGCGTGTGGGGTATTCAGGGTGATCCAGAGTTGAGTGTGCGCGAACAGTGGTGTTGGACACAATGACGAGAGTTCAGATGTACAGGCGCTGATGCGCCATAGCCTGTTGAAGCGAGTTTGCATCTGAACTGTGTTCTTGGTTTCCGTATCTCTGAGCTTTGAGTGGGCGCTTGACGCCAGTGTGAATTGCCATCTGTTTGCATGTATGCGAAGTGAAGAAGAAAGCGAGTCTGATTGCAATAGTTCTGTAATTTCGGAACATGATTCCTACACCTGTACCATTGCGCCCATGGGATTGTTTGCCCCCTTCCCCATTGATTACCCTGGCTAGGACCTCCCTCCACTACTCGCCGGCCATGAAAAGCAAAGAGTAGATCTTTCCAGTTCTGATGGGCAGATAAACTCGCCACGTCTTGCATTTTGGCGAGAATTGGAGCGAGGCCCCAAGCCTAGACGTGGGTTGCAATCTTGAATGCTGGCTAGCCCTTCTATGTCTGGCACAGCCATCCAACATGCCACCCTCTCTGCACAGATACGACTACCATCTTCCCAGTATGAACATACCGCATCTCAATCACGAACACATGCAAGTTTTCTGTCTGGTCTGATGAAGTAATGATAAGGGTGCCATGTGTTTCAGGGTCCGAGGCGGTAACCGGGAAGGAAACGCAAAAACGCAGCCCTGAAGTTTGGGCAGTTCCTGCCTACCTCCAAATCGAGCGCCCGGAATCGGAGATGGCTGGGGCCGGACTTGCAGTCGCGTTTTCACCACATCCAATGGACAGACAACCGTCGCAGCAATAGCACCTGCACGCAAAGGTCAGTACGCCAGGAAGGGTCTGCACATTAGAACAAAAAAAGGGCTAATGGTCCTCTCATCCCACAACGTGATAAACAATCAAATGCCATCATTGCCACACAGTCACCCAATGAATGAAACCCCACCGCAACCCATACACTGCATAAAATCACACGTTGCACAGTCGATTGTGGACACCAAAAGTCCATAGACTGTCAATCTTTCTGGGCATGCGATAAATCAGCTTGCATGCTTCATAATGATCGCATAACTACTCCACGAATTCCATAGAATCGGCCAATATGTCACACACACACCAAAAAGAAAAAAAGCCAGGAGATCACTTGGCAATTCAATCCCCCAACATGAAATTCAGCAGTATACGCAACCCCTCACATCAGTCAATGGCAATTAAATCACGTCTAAACCCATCACCGCAGAAAACAATATCCCAAGTCATCAAACATAATTACTTCATACCTCGCTAGTCCCCTTGCAAAGGGGAAAATGCGATATCAAGTTATCACCCAACCAGCCCAAAAAAAGAACAAAGAAGAAAGCGATCGCAACCTGCAGCACGTGGCAAAGTTGGCCATCCTTGACTTCTGAAAACCTGACCAAAAACGGCCGAAAGGTCAAAAGAACAAGCAGGCGGGTCACATTGAGGGCTCTAATTTCATTAAAATTAGTCCACTCAAATTTTCATTACCGTATTTAATGCGCAGAAGAAATACGCCGTAAGGCACTCCGGTTTGAGCACAGCACTGCAATATGTCACACGGCCATTATCGCTGTACCTGGGGCAACTCTATCAGTCTATAAGCACACAGCAACGATGACCGTGCATTATTTTTTTATTTTTTTATTTTTTTATTTTTTTATTTTTTTATTTTTTTATTTTTTTGGGCCACGAATATAGCTTCAGGGCGTCGCGCAGTTAGCAGTGTTTCCTTAAGAATATTATTCGAACAAATTCTACCAGCCAGTCGTGAAGGGCATATGCGTCATTCATTCTTGTTGTGATAATAAGGGGCCACTCAGTCATGACGAATGCAGCAGAGGGTCTCCAACTTTCAAATTCCAACCACCAGTATATGACACCCAGCTACCCTGTCGCGACACACTGACTAAACCGCCACTACATCCAAGCCTCATTTTCCCGAGGCGCATTTCTGCTCCACGCCAAAGCAAAAGGAACCGGTATACCTTCTCCACCAAACGCCTGCTGCACCCAGTAGACCCTTGAGCTTGACAGTTCAGAATTTTAAGGGCAGGCAAATAAGCGCCTCAGGAAAAAGGCGCTCAGAATTTTGCCTGGGAAGAAAGCCCGCAAGCACAGTGTGGCCCGACCACTACTGCCATCTTCCCCCATGTGTACATCCTGTCGGCCCGAATGTACACAAGCTGCCAGTCCCAGTTGGATGAAGCAATGGTGATGACTACTGCGGCGGGCAAATGACAACGATCGGCTTCCCCGGAGCACAGTGCACCCTGATCATGAATGTTTGCAAGAAATCATTCAGGTCTGATGGAGTTGCTGTGTTGTGTTCGGGGGAAGATGTGTAGCAGTACTGTCTACCCCCAAATGTAGCACCCTTTCAGCATGAATTATACAAGATATCTGCCCCAGCTGGATAAAGAGTCATGACGATGAAGCACTCTGGTGTTCTGGCGAAGGCACACAGCCTACAAAAGTAGAGGACAGCCCTATCTGCAGCCCTCCCTCTCTGCAGATCTGTCTTCTTACCAGGCCAGGCACCACAGTGGCCACCTTGAACTCCGCCATGTGAGAATGCGCTACAAAGGTGCATACCTGGGCCGCTGAGGATGCACCATGTGGCACCCTCCTGGGTCCCAACAGAGCGGTTCGCTAGCCTCCGCAGCTCCAAACCGTAGAACGCGTAAAACAAATAAAAAAAAAAGGAACATGTCCTCTCCATCTGGGAGACAAGGTGCAAGAAACGTCACCAAGTAGCTGTTTCTCGGATAACTGCGGTAAGTGAGAGGGACAAAAAGGAGGAAAAAGCAAAAAGGTTGCGTGTGCTGGGGAGGGAGGAGAGGGGAGACGAACTGGCAAGAGGAAGATACTAGAATAAACATACAGGGGTATGGAGCAACTTTTCAATCAAACCAACTGGACGTCAGATGTAAGGAATATAAGACTCCTTGCATAATCTTTTTCTCTATTTGAAAAAAAAGAACCACAGCAGCACAGCCACACCATGAACCCCAAAAATACCCACTGCAGTTGGAGGGGCAAGCTGGCAACGAGGGAACAAAAGGATATCTACAACTGCACCCCACATGAGAATGGCGACGGCACAACTGCACTGAAATAAGAACCACCCGAAGTGATCGTTTCAACACCCCACGCTAACTTGACTATCTAGACAGTTTGGGATTTTTCCCAAAAAACTGTTTGGTAGATTCCCACACGTTACGCACCCGTTCGCCGCTTTGGTGCTAGCTTTATATCCAACACCTACGATTTCTTAAAAAAAAAAAGAAATATATGGTTTCCATAAGCTTCACTTTATTTAATTTGACACAGAATTCCCACTTCCAGGAAGCCGCCTAACGGCACGATCACCAAAATACCATTCACGTCAGCACTTCGTCATTAATTATGATATTTTATTGTCGACAACCAGCGAAGCTGTTTTTATTTGAGCAATTACACCTATATTCCGGAAGAATCAAATCATATTTGATTTGACCTTTGGAAAAAACCCATATACACTGTTTTCAATGACGAAAATACCTAGCTTGGGAAATGAGGATCACAGCATTCTACTAGAAAAGAAAGAACGAAAGAAAGAAAAAAGAGAAGAAAACGTCTGCAATGCATTACAACACCCCAAATCAAGTTGGCACCCTGCCAACCCACTGCCGTGGGAGTGCTTTAAAAGGAAAAGAGTCAAAAGACCCTTGGAAAAAGTAATCCAAGAGCTTTTCGGGGATTGCCGGATCGGGGCTTGAAATCTAGACGAGTTTGCTAACATTTACATGCAAACTCTCTCAAGTGTTTACTAAAGAATTATATGTGCACAGACATGGACAAAAGAGGAGAGAGGAGTTTTTTTTTCAGAGATTGCTAAATCAGGATTTGAAATCAGGACAACTAACAGTTACATGCGCACAGACGTGAAAGAGAGAGGGGGAAAGAGCTTTCAGAATACCGGAAGGTCAGGATTTGAACTCGAGACGTGTTACAGCAGAGTGGCTGAATCGTGTACCACTCAGCAGTTCCAGCCAATGACAGCCAAGAGCGGAGGCGGCATATGGAAGAGGGGCACGGATGGAACAGAGGAAAGGTCTCACAAAGGAGATTGTTGCATGTTTTTTTTGTTTTTTTTGTAGTCATCTCTGATTAACAAGTATTCGAACTGACGATTTCTGTGGCCCGGTTTGTTTTCTCTTCTTTCCTTTTATATATTCACCCGACTAACTCATCATCCGTTTACTAACAATTACTGTGTGAATACTGGCTTGGGGACAGCCATCTCCATCAGCAAACACATTACGGGTTACCCAGCACAGGTGACCGAATCGCACACACATTTAACTGTTAGCAAACAGATCACGAGTTCCAATCCTAAGGAATCAAAGACACTAGGAGAGAGTGGAGAATGCTCCTCCTATTTAAAAGATTATTTTCCCTTGTGAGACATCGGGGAAGCGTGAAGCAGATGACTAACAAACAACGAAGGGCAGAAACACGGAGAATCAGACCCATGGCCGGATCTCAACAATGCTATCCTCCATCTGCGCTGATCCAAATTACGACCTGATTCGCCTCATTAGGACATCAAGTGCGTGATAAGGAAGGAGAGCAGATGCAAACGGATTCTAAGGAACAAAGCATCACTAACACGACTGTTTGACCTGTGCTCAACCAGATTAGAACCCGATCATCTGGATTAGGATGTGGTCCAGATTCGAGCCTGATCGCCTTCATTAAGACCTGGTCTAGATGAGGACCTGATCAGGCTAGTAGGGCCGGGTCCAGATTGAGACCCACTGAAGACTAGGACCTCACATGTGTGATATAAAAAGAGAGGACTTACAAATTCAAGCGACTACTCGACCTTGGCTCATCCCGATTAGAACCTGATTCCCTGGATTAGGACCTGGTCCAGATTAGATCCAGATTAGGGTCTGCTCAGATTAGGACCTGGTCCAGATTGGGACGTGTTCAGGATGAGGACATCACGTATGTGATAAAAAAAGGAGAGGACTTGCATAAAGAATTCAAGGAATGAAGCATCACTCGAGCGACTACTGGGCTTGTCCAGATTCGGACCTGATCACCTTGATTAGGACCCCTACTCAACATAAAGACCTGGTCGAGATTGGGACCTCAAGATTAAGGCCTCAAGTGTGTGATGAAAAGGGAGAGGACTTGCATACAGACTCCATGATGGAATCTCGTCCAGACTAGGACATCGGGTCTGTCTTAAGCCACCTCTACCTCCGAGCCTCTCTTTTCCAAGGCGGAAAGAACCACTTCTACCTCCGAGCCTGCCTCTCTTTTCCAAGGCGGAAAGAACTGCGCCCCAAGCTTCGGCGAGCACGGCATTCTTTTTTTTTTCTTTTTCGCTGGTGCTTCTTTCCAAGCTTTGGCCAGCACGGCATTCTTTTTTCCTTTTTGGCTGGTGCTGCCAGCCATTCGGGTCCAGTAGCACAGAATGTTTATCCGAAGAACCCAGAACGTTACATTGTCTATTCTTGATGTTGCCTGGGAAACCTGGTGGTGGTTTAAGAAAGGAAAGGACTTGCCCACAGATTCGGCGGGGATGGCCCGCAGTAGGACCCGATCCAGATTACGACCTCCGCCGGATTACAACCTCACGATGTGTAATAAAAAAAAAAAGGAGAGGACTTGCTTACAGATTCCAACGAATCTGGTGCAGATGCAGATGAGAACCTGGTCTACCAGATTAGGACCTCGAATGTGTGATGAAAGCTCGGGAATTCCAAGGAACCTGGTCCAGATTAGGACCTCAGCGGGTATAAAGAAAAGGAGAGGGACTGACTTGCTTACAAATTCCCAAGGATCTAGTTCGGAGTAGGACCAGGCACATAAGGACCTCGTCCGTCCACCACATTAGGACATTGCCCCCGCGAGATGGTCCACCACGAGGTGTGTGATGATAACAAACAAAAAGGAGAGGGTTTGCTCAGAGATTCGGCACAACGAGCGTCTCCATACAACCAGGCAAACTTCAACAACACCGCTATGCAGATTCTGGGACGCGGCTGGGGACAGGGAACAATACATTGAATGCTCTCTGCTGGAGACCTCTGAAGTACCCCGCTGAGGGCATGCACTCACAGCAGGACTTTCAAAAGAGACGAAGGATGCAATTACAGTCAGGTACATCCAAAAAAGAAAACCAAGTGTGAGTAGGCTCTCATATATATTATAGGGATTAGATGTCCTAAAACCGAATGACGTCCCCCTGCTACAGATCTAAAGAATTGAAGACTTTCGCCACGGGGAGAGGGAAGCGGAGGCCAATTGCCATACGCTCTGCGAAAAAAAAAATCAGTAGTTTCAGTAACGCCAGTGAAAAATAAAAAAGAAGGGCCTCGTCGTCGGAACGTTCAGGAAGACGGGCAAAGAACAAGGACTCTCCTATTGAGCAAGGATTCCCAACCGACCACAGCAACTAGAGTAAGATAAACAATACAAATTACGCATTAGTAAGAAAAGCAGATCAATCGCCTATTGAGTAAGGAATGGAAGGAAAAATGTGGCTCAGGGGCTACAAATCACAAAGCCATTACCTTTGGCTGCATTTCACACCATCTAGAGATGCAGAAGAAAAGCAGATCAATCGCCATTTTCTGCACCTCTTCACAAACACGTCCGGATTCAGCAGCAGCCGTTACATCCAATCCTCTTTGCTAGTGGGACGTCGACCCGAGAGGGAAGAAGAAACTATTTCCCTTCTTCCCACTGCATGCAGCACAGGTGTTTTTTCTTTCAGGTAGAACACAATTTCTTCTACCTAAAAATAGTTCAAAACACAATTGGAAGGAAGAAGAGAGAGAAACTCGTTGCTTCCTACTCTGCATACAGCACAGGTGTTTTCTTTTCCTTTTTTTTCCCCAGGTAGAATACATTTTTTTCCACCTAAAAACCGTTTAAAACGCACTTCCTCGGTCCCCCTGCTCAGTATATCTCTTCGTTGTCCAGTCTAAGGACAAGCAGCTTGTCGTTTCAGACAAAGCTAATCCCACCACCACTTCCTCCCTCCCCCTCGCCCCTCCCCCCCGCCCCGACCCCCCCCCGCGCCCTCTTTTTGTCACCTTCCAACCTCCCTGGGAAAGGGGGAGGACGGGCAGCAAACTACACAGAAGAGACGATATCTTTGTCGTCCCTAGCATGTAAAATGTAGCTGTGAGACGGGCGAACGCATCTGACCGGAGATACGGCTGTATTCATCTGCTAAAAACTTATTTTTTTTAAGCGTGCGTATGGTAATAAGGAGGTTGGACGCTGCACTGAGCAAGCAGGGTGGGCAGCAAAACACGACAGAGACCTTTCTCTTTCTTCTTCTTTTGGTAGAGAAACAAAGACGCCTTGACTTGAATAACTATATCCACACACAAGGACACGTCTTTATAAAGTTTCTGAAAACCTCGAAACGCGCTTTGTTGCCAAAGGCGCTTGAGGAAAGCTCTCGCTCGCTACTCGTGAGCAGCAACGCCCCCACCCCAACCCGCCAACCTGCACTTTTGCCGCAACGAACCCATAGACTCTGGGAGCAATATCACAAGTACTCAGCTTTGCTTGTTGTGAGCCTTCGTTCCTTTGTATGTTTCTTTGTTTTGTCTGTTTGATCTATTTTAGCATTTCGTGTGTTTGTTTTGTCTGTCTGTTCTGTTTGTTTTCTGTGTTTGTTTTGTGTGTTTGTTTTGTGTGTTTGTTTTGAGCGTTTGTTTTGTGTGTTTGTTTTATTTGTTTGTTTATTTCTGCACGTTTGTTTGTGTTTTTTTTTTTTCCTTCTTTCCTTGGGCCCCCTTTGTCTGTGTATTTGTTTGTTTGTCTGCTCATTTCCCTGTTCCTGTCCGTAAGCCTGCTGTTTGCTTGTTTACTTGTTTACGTGTTTACTTGTTTACGTGTTTACTTATTTGCTTGTTTGCTTGCTTGCTTGCGTGTTTGTTTCGTTATGCCTGTTTCTGGACTGTCTGGCCAGCGATTCGTTCATTAGCAATGCGTCGACTGGCTGCCACATTCTTCCGAACGGAGCGCAGCGGCGTGATGACCGATTTCATATTACAAATAATTACGGACGATTATCTGTTTGACCCAGCGGCATGCAGACAGCAATAATAAACTCCACCTCTTTCCACATTCCCAGGAAACACGTCGAAATTCCTCATTTCATTTCACTGATAAAATGGCTTCCAAGTGACGAGCCCACCCCTTGTAGTTCGCAAAAGACAAGTCGTGGCATAAGTACGATATTAGTTGATTATCAATTTATAATATTTTATATTCATCATTTTTGTTTGCAATAACCTGATTCATACGTAATTCTTGGCAAGCAATAAACCAACCAACCAGCAACAGGTCAGTCAGCCACTCATTTAAGAACTACAATCGCATTCACCCAAATAGAACGCATATCGTTATTTATAGCTGGCAGTATTTAGGGCAACTTTGAGTCTAGACGCAGCGATAGTGACACTTTGAGTCTAGACGCAGCGATAGTGACCGGGTTATTAAAAAAAAGGATAGTGACCGGGTGTGCTACTTGCGTGAAAACGGTAGTGATTCACTAACCGTCTTTCACCCCGAATAGAACGCATATCGGTCAGTATAGCTGTATTTGGGGCAACTCTCATTCTAAACTACAGCGATGATGACCGTGCGTTGTATTCGGGGGCTGAAGAAAAGGTCGAGCCGGAAAAAGAGGGGTTGTAGCCCCCCTACCGTCGCAAATAACGACAATCATAGTACGTCGTGGCCCGTAGATACGCATAATGACCGCTCGCAAATAACCTGGAATATCTAAGAATGCAATTTTTTCAAATGTCCAGAAAGAGAAAAAAAAAAAAAAAAAAAAAAACCTCAGGCTTGTCCTAGTCGTGAGCGGAGGGTATCACCGTTTGTGGGCAGGGCAAGAAGAAACAGTAGTAGATTTCGGGTTGCTTTTGCTGCCGTCTTCCACCGAACGCGCACGAAGGACCCTGACTGATCATGGGTGAATTGAAGCTATATCTCCGGCGCGACACAGTCACAACGAGGGTGCGTTGCGTTCCTCGGCAACAGGAGATGGTGACATTCGTGCAGGGGGAGAGAGAGAGGGGGGGACACAGAGAGGAAGGGGGGAGACAGCGAGAGAGAAAGAGAGAGAGATCAACCACAGACAAAGATCAAGCACAGACGGAGGTCAAGCACAGTAAGAGACCAAGCACAGAGTCTTCGCGTGTGCGAGAGAGGGAAAAAGGAGCGAGAGAGAGGGAAAAGAGGGAGAGAGAGAAGGACAGGAGGGAGAGAAGAGGGAGGGAGAGGGATCAAGCACAGGACACAGAGCATCCATCTTTATATTAGTGCGAGAGAGAAAGACAGAGAGAGGGAGAGGAAGCGAGAACGAGAGAGAAAGAGAGAGAGAGAGAGAGAGCATATCGTCGAGATGAGAGAACAAATAAGCTGGCTTTCCTCTACGGCATCCATGAGTGGATGAAGAACTTGTGAGAGAGACGTTCAGAAACAATTTGGCATCCATGAATGGTGGGAGAGCGATAGAATTACGAGGTTGGCAAGGACGTAACAGAGGGGAGAAGAATTGGGGAAAAAAAAAAAAAAAAAAAAAAAAAAGATTTGGAAGAAGAATTGGAAGAAGAACGGGAAGAAGAATGGGAAAAAGAATTGGAAGAAGAATTGGAAGAAGGACGGGGAGAAGGATGGGGGGAGAAGGAGAGGGAGGAGGATGTGAAGAAGGATTGGGAGGAGGACAGGGAGAAGGACGGGGAGAAGGATTGGGAAAAGAAGGGAATGTACCTGCGCCAGCTCCCGCCACTGCATTGAAGAGTTTGGAGCGCCGCTTCTCAGGCATCTCCTCGATCCAGAGGGCCGTTCTCTCCCAGAACGGCGCCTCTCTACCCAGTTTCTCTCTCGCCCCTATCTTGAGAGAGAACGTCCACCTCGCCCACGTGGCACGGATCTGGTCCACGTGGTACGGGTCTGGACCACCTCGCCCAATTGGCACGGATCAGGACCACCTCGCCCACGTGGCAGTCGCGCTCCTTATTTATCGCTTATTCAGCATTATTTCATCAACTAATCAGATCAACCGAAGATCAATCAATGACCGACCAATCAATCGCCCAGAATTCCCACTACCCTCTTAGGCCACATAGAAAACACAATCCTTTTTGCGCGACGCTTCCCCGCTTCATCGAGCTCAACAACACGTTCTCTCTCTCTCTCTCTCTCTCTCTCTCTCTCTCTCTCTCTCTCTC